CAATCCAGTACCAGAGTGACCACTGCTAGAAGGGAGCAGGGTATACATTTCAAGTACAAAGCAAGAGAATGATTAGGCTAGAAAAGAAGAATTGGGAAGTGAGAGCTCTCTGCATCTGGTTGTTGTCTAGTCAGATTGCAGGCAAAAGTATAGAAGAATAGTGGGGGCATTGGTCCAAAGCTGAACCATGTTTGGATCTCATTGCAAGAAGCAGAAGAGTAAGTCAGAAGAAATTCAAGGAATGGGAAAATTGAAACAGTCTGTGTGTGCATGTGTCATTTGCAAATTTGCTACAAGCTGAAGAAGTAAGGTAAATTTGCTACAAGTAAGAAGACGGTGTATACAAGTTGTCTTCTGATCAACTGAAAGGACAAACTTTGTAAAAGAACATATGTAAAGATGGGACTACACCCTGCGCATCTCTTAGGTACCTAAATGCAGTCCTATTTCACCCTGTTCTGAAGTCTATTGATATGTCTACATTTTTAAGATTGAGTCAAAAAAAGCAAGTGGGAGGAGAAGGATGCATGCATCTTCTGTATTAAGAGGGTTTTAATTCAACCAGGGTGGAATAGAATCACATTTAGGCACCTAAATGCACTTATCTACCTAATAGGTAGATTAAAATTTGTCCCCTAGTATTTACATTTTTTGTTAGTGTTTAAATTAGCATAAGTTAAGCAGCTTCATACTAATTTGAAAGATTCTTGCTTTTCTTCTCTTTGTTAATACATTAAACTGACAGGACCATGGAGTCGTATTCAATTGTTAATCTCCGATTTGAGACATCCAAAAAAACCCAAACTTTTCTTTATCATTAGAGCATCTTTTCTTACATTTTAGTTTTCCCTTAACATTTCCAGTGCTGTATGACCATCTGTGTTTTGTTGTTTTGTTTTTTTTGTGTTTTCAATATAGCTCATCCAGTTGATTTTGAGTCATCTTACAGTACCTGACCTGTGTAGACTAGCACAGACTTGTAAGCTACTATATCAGCATTGCTGTGACCCTCTACAGTACATTCACCTCAGTTTACAACCTTACTGGGCAAGGATAAATGACACATCTCTGGAATATCTACAGTCTCGCTGCACTCTCGTCCAGTGGCTGAATTTATCTTGGACTGGAAACAGGGGAGCCATCTCTGTTTCTGGATTTAGCAGGTCAGTGCTAAGTGTACTGAGGTGATACAGCAAGCTCTATGTTGAGTGCTGCTGTTTGGTAGTTTCTCACTAAATGCTTGAAAGCTTTTAAACCATCATATTTATATCGAAAGACCGGCAAGAGGCTGCTTTGATTTACCATAGAGGGTAGGGTTTCAGGATGAATAAAAGCATTCCCTTCACTATTTTCTTTAGATAAAACAAGAAGAGAAACACACAACTGCAGAAGTCAATGTAATGTAAAGTGTTAGAATTGTTTAACATACCTGATATGTGCATATCAAATTGTACTTAAGAAAAGTTTCCCCTCCAGTATGGAATCATGTTAAGTTACTTCTGTGGATTGTGAAAGGATCTGGTTGCAATTAAGCTTACAGAAAATCTGTTTTCCAAGCAATACATTCAGAATTGTCCTTTATATAGATGATTTGTTAGTAGGGATACATTGAAATGGCTATAATATTGACCTGATTACGGTGCATCTTGTAGGGATAGCAGCCATATGCAATCACTGGAATGAAACTTAAATGTAGGTTTGTTTATAAAAATGACTTGAACATCTAGTCCTGTTGGCAAAGAGGGAGGTTATACTTATAGCTTTACACCAAACTGAAAATACTATTCTGTGGCAGAGCATTAAAAATAGCTGAATTGTAGGGGTATTTTTCTATTTCAATCTCTGCATTCTCTGTTTGCTAACATATTGTTTCCTGCTTCTTCGCTCATTTGTGTTAGTTAGGTAGTAACTATCAATGCATTTTATTATTAAAAAATGCCGCCTTCACCCAAAAGATAATCTACAATAGCATGGAAAGCTGAACTTCACACTGATAAGAAACAGAAATGTTGCATTTAATGTAAACTTTTCTGAAAATGTTCAGAATTCATTTTTTATAAACCTCTAGAGTACCTCAAACACTCGTGTCTATCCTGTTGGAGTGAAGAAAACTTCTTTCCTTGACCTCAAACACTTGTGTCTATCCTGTTGGAGTGAAGAAAACTTCTTTCCTTGATATCATTCAAGAAAAATATTTTCATTTCCAGGAACCTGAAAAGGACATCCAATAGTATTATAGGTAGCTTCTCCTAAATTTAGATGTATGATTATGGTGAAAACAAAATATCCATACTCAACTAGGAAATGATACTTCCCAAACTAATCAGTTGTATGGATACCGGATAGTTTCATTATTAAAGTAATTGATATTAATTTTGTATGGTGAACACTAAAAACATGTGCATGTTCAATCTTACAGACATGCTGCTTTCATTTTTCTTATGTAAACAGTACAGGTTCATCTCATGGAAAAGTTAGTGCATAATATGTAACTGTATTGGTTAAATAGTGGTGTGGTTGATAATGAAATATATATCCAAATTCAGAGAATTATAAACTCTGCAAAATAACAAACTTGCATTATTGGTCTTGGGTAGGGTTGAAAAGTTCTGTATTTGCTGATTACTTTTTACTTCACTGTTAAATTGATAGCTGTAGTGATTTTTTTTAGTCATCATTTCTGGAATAAATAATAAATATACATAACTTGATTATTAATGAATAATCTCTCAATAAACACTTTATTTTGCTCTTACAGTAAGCAAGATGTGTTCATAAAAATTTAGGGCAAAAATGGTTTTTGTAGATCTTGGAGAGAATTGCTTAAATTATATGTACTTATAGAAAAAGTTCTTGGGTGTGGGAGGGCAGTTGTATATAGCCTGTTGGATTTTGGGGTTGGTGGATTCTCAGAAGCTTTCAGTCATGCAACTTTACCATAAACTTGTGTCAGGACTTTTGAACTCATTTCTTCTTTTTTTAAAATGTACCATTTGCATAGGCTTTTTACTCTGGAGGATTTATACTTCGTTAAACAGAACCTCCAAACCTTATAAAACTTACTGTATTTACTCAAATGTAAGGTGGCCCTGCATATAAGATGCCCCCCAAATAATTAGATTCTATGTATGGAAAATGTATAAATTTGTAAATTTATAAATTTGTTATAGTCTTCCAGGTATAGAATCTAATTATTTGAGTTTGCTTTGAATTTGTCCCCTTCCCACTGCTGAGCACGTGGAAGTGAGGAGCAAATTTGAAAACACTGATCTTGAATTAAACATACCTGTGTTAATTTGCATATAGGCAAATTATTACAGGTATCCATAAACTTAGTTTATCCAGAACTGATGCATATTACCTTTTTCAAAACTGTCACAAGTTTTAGCACAAGTACACTATAAACACACTTTCAAGCAGCACTTTTGTACTTACTATATATAATAGAAACCATACTTTTATTTTATTTATAGATAGATATAGGGGTGGGTGTGGGTGTGTGCATACACACCCACACACATACCATGTATGGTAACAGGAATGAAAATGGTGCAACTGTAAATGCATGTGTTGGGCTGTCAGGTGAACCATATCAGTCACAAGACAGATTGGTAGAGGTGTATACATATCAGCTGTCTTATGACTGATGTGGTTCACTTGATAGCCCAGCACACACCTTTACAGTTACACCATTCTCATTCCTGTTACTATACATGATCTTAGTCAAAAGCCAAAAGGTTCATGATTTACCGTATTGTTCATTGGGCTGGGCCCCAGCAGAGTCAACAGTGTTTTAAGCCATAGTAACCCCATAGCTCAGCACTGCTCAGTTTGTGTGTGTATTCCAGATCCCACCCCCCCACACACACATGCACACAAAGGATCCATGAGCTAATTAGCTCCCCACTCATGACTGGAACCAGGTGTTCTTGTTATGAGTCCTTGGATCCTCCAAAAATGTATGTGCAGATGAAGCACAGGACAACCCAATCCTTCCACTTCATGGAGGGTAGAGCCACACTAATCATATGTTACAGGCTGAGAGAGTGGGCAGCAGAGAGTTTCTGGGTGAACTGTTCAAGGCCCCATTTGGTGATGTTTGCTAGACATGTAAGGCTGATGAAGAAACAGGAATAATTGGAAATGGGAAAGAAAGGCATAGCTCAGCTGTGGAATTGAAAAGGAAATAAAAATATATGCAGCGTAGTGGCTCACCATGACTTGAAAAAAGAGTTGGCACTGAGGGAGACTCTGCTTAGTGGGCACTACCGTATAGCTTATTCAGATACACTGACCTAGCCTTGTGGTAGGTTCACATCAGCATTGAAAGAGTGATCTATGCCTTAAGGGCATAGAAAGGGATCAACAGCGCATTGGGGTATGAGAAATCGAGGAAGGAGACCGAAAGTTCAAAATAATGACAATGGTGGCAAGGATGAGGTGGAAAAGAATTGAAGAAAGGAAATGATGAGGTGGAAAAGAATTGAAGAAAGGAAATGAAGATCTGGAGACAGATGGAAAGTGGACAAAGGTGGAGTAGAAGGAAGGTGACAACAGAAGCAAAAGCGGAAGCAGCAAATGACAATGCCAGAAGGAAGACAAGAGCAAAGGAAAGTGGGAGACAGAGTAGGAGCAGCAGGCAAAGGTATATCGGGCAAGAAGCAGAGGATGACTGGAGCATTATGGCAGGCTGCCCTGCTGGGAGTGATACAGTGGGGAAAACATGGAAGAGGCACCAAGAAAAGCTAGAGAGGAGTGGAGGCTGTGGATAAAGGCAGCTTTAATCGGCGATGAGAGGCAGATGGGATCGACAATGAAAACATATGACTACCTGGAAAAGGTACTGTTTGAGATGCAGTACTGATGAGATGCTTAGAGGTGCAGGCAGAGCATTTCGTCGGTCTAATTGCTTTCTCAAACTGAAAGACTTGGGAATTGACTTACTGGGGTGGAGAAGGGTATGAGAACTTTTAGAAGAAATTTGCAGAGAAACGTGGGAGGAAGGAATTAAGAGAAATATAGTTCATACTAAGGGAAAAGTCAAGATAAAGAGTGAATAGAGTTCAAATATACAGATTTATTAGAGACAGAAGACGTAGAAAGACAAATGGAAAAGTACATCCAAATGGTAATATTGGTAGAGAAAGTAAGGGACAAATGTGGTATCCAGAAGTGGTCTTGGGGGGGCATGAGTAGTGTTACAAGCAGACAAATGGAGCCTACGTGGGGTGCTGCACCTCCCATCAGTGATCCAGATAGGGGCACGCTGGCATTTTATAATATACCATGGGCAACCAAAATGGTGCAGCACATGCGGAAAGGTGGGGCACCTGTCTGCATGCTGTCCCCTCATGGTGTACTATGGATGTGAAGGGATGGGTTATAGAGCAGCAGAGTGGCAGGAGTCCCTAAAATGAACTACAGGTTTCCCTTGCTTTATGCTCTACATGCGTTCCTGGAAAACGGCTCATAACTCAAATTCATATAAAGGGAATCCACTTTACAACGTAACAAATAGGGATACATTCCCAGACCTCAACTGTACTGACCTCCAGACCCATTTCTACCACTTTTACAAGACAATTTTGGTACTCACCCACAACAGACAGTACACACAAGCACAGGGCACTATTGTAATAGTTTCATAGTTGGTAGGGTCAGAAGGGACCTGAGCAGATCATCAAGTACGACCCCCTGCCATGGGTAGGAAAGAGTGCTGGGGTCAAAAGACCCCGCCTAGCCTTGTTTTGAAG